AAAAACTTTATATTTATTGAAAAATTGCTTTTTTATTTTAAATATATTACATTCAAGCCATATATAAATACCAATCGAATGAGCCATAGTAGACCTAGGTCGCTTAATTTGTTGCTGAGAAACGTTAATTAGTTTATCCCACGACCTTCAACTTTGAATGCTCATGGAATTTAAAAAAAAAATGGTAGAGGACTGACTCTTATTTCATTCTCTTCCTAAATCCGTAAATTTTCATATTCCACTGGAAAATAATGAAAAAAAAAAAATTTTTAACTCGTTAAAAACAATTGGGAACAGGGCGATTGCTCCTGAGGTTGCACTTTATAAACTAGGCCACATTACATAAATTCCTGGATTAGAGAGTGTTTTACCCCCACAGCCTGGGCTATAATATAAGAATGTCTTCAAAACGACAATTTGAAATAATTCGAGGCAACTAGTATTTATAAATGACATTATATCATTCCACAAGTAAAAGGAGGAAAGAATACTCACAAAATAATAAAACGAAGGAATACTGAAGCCAAAGTTAATAAAAACGATGCGGCCCTTTTATTATCTGAAACTTTTAAGATTTTTTGAACTTTGAAAGAACTTTTTGAAGATTTTTTTATTTATTAAAGCATTAGTTTTTTATTAAATTGCATGATTACATAGTTATGCCACTATACAGAGTTTATACTACTCTGTATTACAACCTACAACATTTTTCATAAGAAAATATGCTTTTAAAATCCAATTATTTTTATTATTGGTACATTTTTAGTACATTAGTACATTTTTTACTCCTTGCGTAACTTCTTTCGGTCTGAATTTTTGGTGGGCCCTTATGATAGCTATAATCATGTTTATATTTATATATATATATATATATATATATATATATATATATATATATATATATATATAATATATATATATTAATTTTACACATATAATTAATTCTAGTCTTGGCTCATCGCCATTTTGACAATTTATGGCGTGGATAATTATTATATCTTTACTTTTTAAAATTGTTTACTTACATTTTTTAGGGATGAACATTTTTTTGTCTGTCAATAATCTGTTTGCTTTAACATAATGTTTTAATTTGTAAATGATTCCACACACTTCTCATATAATAAGTACATACAAATTAGTATTTAATTTACATATGTAAGATTTAATCAAAAAAAAAATGAAAAGAGCATGGCTAAAATATTAATACACACAACCAAACTTATATGGAATCACCCAATATTTCCGATTTTGTAAAGTATTACTAATTTTTTTTTTAATGTAATGGAAAATGAACTACATTTTATACTAAACCAGTTTAATTACTATGAAAAAAAAAACAATCAAAAAATGTTACAAATGCTTGAAATTAACAAAAACGCAAGAAATACGAACAAATGAAAACATTGCAATGATTGATTAAGAAAGATACAGTCGTGCTGTTCATTTTAATAGTCAGTGTTGCCACCTCTAGCTCCAATATAAGCTTCAATCTGACGTGGAATGCTTCTAATCAAATCATCAACTTGTTCTTGAGGTAAGTTTGCCCATTCTTCTAGAGCGGCTTGAATGAGCTGATCCGCATTTCCTGGATTATCCCTTCGAGCTCTAATCCTTCTTTTAATGAGGTTCCACACATGCTCAATGGGATTAATATCAGGTGAGCAGGCAGGCTAGCTCAGAACAGTGACATATTCAGTTTCCAGAAAGTCTGTGGCAACTCTGCTGGTATGTGGAGGGTCATTATCGTGCATGAAAATGAAAATATTTCCCACTGCACCTCGCCACAGCCTAACTATGGGTTCTAGTACCAAATCGACATACCGGCGACCCGTTAAACTTTGCCGTAAGGGACGCAAAGTTGTTTTTTCTCCCAATATAATACCTCCCACAAACATTACAGTTCCTACGTTATATTTTGGAACGGATATGGCAGTTTGCAGTCTAGCTTGTCTGCTTCGGCCTTCGTAAAATCCGAATTCGACGGTCATCTGATCTCAGGCCAATTCTGGTTTCATCTGAAAACATTTTGCCAATCTTCATTTGTCCAGTTCTGGTGTTCCAGACATCAGAACTGGACAAATCATTGATCAGCCGATCAATTTTGTTCTGTCTGGATAACTCGGGAAGCCTCAACTGCCTCCTGCTAAATAAATCTTGGGAACGAAGTCTCTTTCGTACCGTTTCAACTGAAATGTCAATACCTGTAGTCTGCAAAAGTTGCCTTTGGAGCTCCGGATGAGAAGAGGTTGGATTTCTTTTAGCTATTTGACCTAAAAACCGGTCTTGTCGATCACTAGTTACTCTACGACGACTTACTCTACGTGTAGCGTAGCTGAAATTTGTCTTTGTGACATTCCCTGCTCAACAAGAGCAACAATTCTTTCCCTCTGAACATCTGACAAACCTACGTATGGCATGCTACCTTTTTTGAACACACACTTAACTTTACTCTAACGTCTTGGTTTTACAACTTAACACAAATAATAAAATTTTTCAATGTGTACTTGATCAAATTTTATCAATTATGAATCGTATTTCCAACAAAAACTTTTATCTATCTACAAAAAAAGTTGTCATACATTTCTTATTATTAGTAAGAAATACTGGGTGATTCCATATAAACTTTGATAAAATTAAAGGCAGATATCGAGCACAATTTTATTAATTAAATCTTGCCTAAGTACTTTCGCTTTCTACCGCATTATCAGTGGCATTTCGTCAGTTTTGGGCTATCCAACAAGTGCAAAATGTAATGTGCAAGCTACATTCTTATCAGCAACGGGAGAGAGAATGATTCATTCTCTTGTTTGTTGTTAAACAATTACTTATAGATTTTTGTGCCGTCATTTATATGATTCAGTTATTCATTAGTCTAACCTTTAGATAAATCATTATTGCTTCTTCTTCTTATACTGCCCTATCCAATTAGTAGATGTTGGCGACAATTTTGGCATACTCCTCTCGATCTTATGTGGCTCTAAACAGTGCATGGGCATCGGGGTTTGTCCAATCACTTACATTTTTAAGCCATGAGTATTTCTTTCTTCCGATGCACCGTTTTCCTTCTATCTTCCCTTCCATAATAAGCTTTAAGAACTGGTAATTGGAATTTCGAAATATATGACAAAGATAAGTAGTTTTTCTTCTTTTTATTATTGGCAGCAATTCTCGTTCTCTGTCCATTCGATTTAATAGTTCGACATTTGTTGTGTGATGTGCCCAGGGAATTTTAAGTATTCTTCTAAATACCCACATTTAAAAGGCCTCCAATCGGTTCATCACATTGACTTTTATAGTCCAGGTTTCTACACCATATAGCAGTATGGAGTAAATGTAACATTTTACAAAGCGATATCGAAGCGTTAAGTTAAGGTTTTTGTTGCTTAGCAAGGTTCTCATATTAGTAAATGCTGTTCTGGCTTGCTCAATCCTGCTACGTATCTCTATGTCTGGATCTAGATCTTCAGTTATTCAACTACCGAGATATCTGAACTTGGTGTTCTACTAACCACCATTACCTTCGTCTTGTCTATATTAATCTTCAAGCCCAGTCGTTCTCCTTCAGTGTTTATTCTATTAGTCGTTGTAGCACTTCTTGGCTATCAGCTATTATGACTGTATCATCAGCATAGCGAAGATTAGTGGGGGTGAAGAAGGGGGGGGGGGTGACAAAACACAATCCTATCGTACACCTTTTTCGATTGAGAAATATGATGTAGATTCCAGTCCTACTCTCACAGATGTCACTTGATTCATATAAAGGTTCTTTATGATTTTAAGGTCATTCTCATCTATCGAACGTTCCTGGAACAATCTTACTAATTCTGAATGATTAACACAATCGAACGCTTTCTGGTAATCTATAAAGCATAGGAAGACATCTTTTTGCTGATCTCTGCATTTCTGAAGTAGTATAGTTAAGCTATAAAGTGCTTCTCTTGTGCCAAATCCTTGTCTGAAACCGAACTGTGTGTTCCTTCACATGTCTCCTTCACATATGTTGTATATTCTTGTGTGAATTATCTTTAAGAAGAGTTTTAAGACTTGGCTCAATAAGCTAATCATTCGGAATTGGTCGTAACTATTAGCGTTTGGCTTCTTTGGGATTGGTATAAAGGTTGATTGAAGCCAGTCCTGTGGTATTTGACCGGACCCATAAATGTCATTAAAAAGATCTACCAAGACGTCTATATTGGTTTCACTCAAATTTGTTAGAACCTCTATGTATATATCGTCCCTGGTGCTTTTTCCCATTTGCTCTGTTTGATTGCCCTTACCACTTCTGACTTCAATATTTTGGGGGAGGGTTCACTGTTATATTCACTTTCAGAGCTTCTTTTAGTTGTGTCTGCGTATTGTTGCTGTGTGTAGTTTCTCCAATGTTGAAGTAGATCCTTGGGATCAGTAATTAGTTTATTGTCCTTCACAATACTGTTAAAACTACAAGGTTTTGTATGACCTGTCACTTCTTTAACGAGTTTATGTATGTTAAAGCGGTCATGTTTTTCTTCCAATTACTCCATTTCTGCACATCTGTCTGGCAACCACTGTTCTTTAGCTTTGCGACACTCTTTTCGTATTTGTCGGTTAATCTGCTGATGTTTTGGTTTGGTCTTTGTTTTTAAATGATCTGCGGTCGTCCATTGCCATTTAAAAATAAATAATAAGTGAATAGAATAAGTGAATGAAAGTAAAAAATAAATGTAAAATACATTATTAACAGGGATAGTTATAGAAAATAAAAAATAGTATCGATATGAATAAGAGTGTGATGCTATTACTTGATTTTTGATTGGTTAACTTAAAACCTAAAAATGAGTTTGTGGGAATCCTTTATATTAATAATTATAATAAATGAGCCGAAAATTACATAGCAAACAGAGTATTTTGTATCATTTGTCCGTCATAAATTGCACACTTGTCTATATGTACCCATGCCAGGACTTTGGGAGTGTTTTTGAGATTGCTAATGTTCTCCTTTTGCATGTGTTTTTGTACAGAAGCTAAAAAGCAGCGGAAGAAGAAAAGTTTAACAGGTGAATAATTTTTTATTTTTTTACAAATTACTTAAACAAAAATATGTAATTATAATTAATGTTAACCTTTAAAAAAATATGTTAAAATTGAGATTCTCTAACACTCTAAATGAAGCATGTATAACTGTTTTGAGATGAACTGTTGATTGTTGAATTAATGTTCGCACAGAGATTCGTAGTTAATAGTCATCTGACTTTACTGCAATGTTTTATGTTTTAACATTTTTCTTGAATAAAGAAGATGAATTTTATGGAATCTCTGACTCTTGGTTTCAAATGTCATTTTATAAATAATGATTGTCGTGTAGGTGATGAAGAAAACGTTACTGGAAATAGCCATATGAACACAGGGAACAAAGATGAGGGAGGAGCCGGAGAGACAGGATTTAAGCTCGACGCATCAGCTGCCCCTGATCATGACGGCAAAGAAAATCACGTCCAACCTGAAAAATCCTCCGGAGAAAGGAACAAAAAGGAAAAATCTGTACTTCAAGCCAAACTTACTAAACTTGCCATTCAGATCGGTTATGCTGGGTCCACCATTGCAGTTCTCACTGTTGTCATTCTGATTATACAATTCTGCATCAAGACTTTCGTCATCAATCATCAAGCATGGAAAAACGTGTACGCCAACTATATGGTCCGTTACCTCATTATTGGTGTCACTGTACTTGTAGTAGCTGTACCTGAAGGACTGCCGCTGGCCGTTACCTTGTCTCTAGCATACAGTGTCAAGGTAAGTTCCTAGTCTGATATATAACTTAAAATACAAAGATATCACTCTATCTTCCTTTATCGATATAAGCGATCAACAGATCTGTCTCTCTTGAATCGTATTAATACCAATAGCATTCAGAGACATCAACCTCGCACAACGTTTTTGGCTTTACTCTATAATTCCTTCCGGAAGGAATTTAGCAACTCTTCTTACCAGGTGATTTGGATTGCGACAGTATTCTAAATATCTTTATTTTCTCCTTTTTGTTTTACTCTTATTTGATACTTGTTTAACTCTACTTATCCATCTAAATATTATTATATCTACAATATGAAGTCATTTTTCTTATTTGTTTTTGAATGTACCGGGTGGTCCAATAAGCCGATCTCTCTCGGATATATATATATATATATATATATATATATATATATATATATATATATTATATATATATATCAGAAACTATTCATGTTGTAACTTTAGGAGAAAAAATTCCTTGGTAAAAGTGGCCAAACTTCCCAAAGTTTGAAACATGAATAGTTTCTGATATATAGCCGATAGATCGGCTTATTGGACCACCCGGTACATTCAGTGCCTTACTTCATAGCTGATATTGGGCACATAGCGGCTTTTACTACACATGATTGTATAGTACCGACTTCTAAAACTATTACTTTAAAATAATTTCACCATCCTAAATTACCAACATATTTGCGGTATTAATTTCATCTTCCAATAGACATTCAAGACTTTCCAACTTAGACCTTATCGTACTAAGAGTATTTGTAGGTTTAAGCTGTCGCTCCCTCTTAAGGGGAAACATTTACTCATTACAGATACCTAGGGTGATGAGCTATCAGCTATTTTTTAGTCACTTTAGTGTTTAGCTCTGCGTTAGATTATCTTACTAACTAAGCATATGATTTAAGCCGTGTGGTCTAGATGACTTGTTGTGATAATATATTTTATAATTAAATCTCTAATTTTCAGAAAATGATGAAAGATAATAACTTAGTAAGGCATCTTGATGCTTGTGAAACTATGGGTAACGCTACTGCCATCTGTTCGGACAAGACAGGTACTTTGACTACAAATAGGATGACGGTTGTACAGTCCTACATATGCGAACAACTTTGTAAAACCATGCCCAAGTTTTCTGATATACCTGCCCACGTTGGAAACATTATCATCCAGGCTATTTCGATCAATTGTGGCTACACGTCAAGAATAATGGTAAGTCTGAATCTACAAATAGTTTTAGTACAAGAACATAATATGTAGGTACCCTATAAAAACCATCCCTTTACTCCAAAAGTAAAACAGAGTTTTATGTATATACATATTTAGATATATTTTTGACAAGTAAAGTTTTACGTTTCGATTTCTACTCCGGAAATCGCTTTCAAAAAAATATTTAAGAATTTTGTGTATAAGAGTGTGTTTAAGAGTATATAACAGCCAAAATTGAGATTATGTCTTATCAAAAAAATAGAAATTTGACTTACTTGGCACTTGGTCTTGCTGTTATAGGCAACAGCCATGCCTGACTGGAAAGATACATTCTTCATCTTCTGCTTTTCCCATTATGAGTGCGGTGTTTTCGTCCTCCACAGCACTCTATTTTACCAGTCATCTTTTCTGAGATTTCTATATATAATAGCATTTCCTATGTATGTTTTCCATGTAGCAGGTCTTCATCTCCGTCTTCTTCCCGGCGGGTACCAATTCAATATTCTTTTCGGCCACCTGTGCTCTGGCATTCTTTGTACATGCCTGTACCACTGCAGGGCTCCGTTTTCCAACTTTTTTGTAATTGAGGAAGGATATGAAGGTGGATTTTATTTCCTATGAAACTTCAAAATTCTGGTTATATTGTGGTTGTTAAACCACTGTTGATTTTCAAAAATATAATCAAAAAAATGAAGACCTAACTAAAAAGCTAATAGATCTAAAGTGCCAAAAGTAAAATTGTTGGGAAAAGTAAAAAACTATACAGTTTTCAACAGAATACAATTTTATTTACAAAAAGTGGTTTTAATCAAACAAGTTAATGTAAATAGATGGTTTTCTAATTTTTGTATAGTTTTACAAAAACGAAACATACAAAACGCATGTTAACCATATACTTGTTCAAACAGATCCAAGTCCATTAATGGGTTTCACTTCTAAGAGATCTAAGTACTATCAAAGAGTATTTAATAGTAGAAATCTCTGTTTTCTTCATCAATGAAACCAAATATGCTTCCTGACTCCTTTTTTTTTTGTTTTCTGCTAGTGGAACCTTTGTTGGTAGAGTAGTAAGCTCCATGGAAGCTATGTATTCAACAGAAATATTTTTCTTGAGGGCGTAGCTTTTTTTGTCAAACCCATACAGTTTGTTGAAGTTTTTCTTGGTAAGTACGTAGCCAGGTTCGTTTTTATCAATCTTGAAATCATTAATTATTTGGATTGAATGAAACACCATTATCACTGTTGTATTGTTTTATTGTCTATGGATTCTTTTGTTTGCTTTGATGATTAATGAACTATAAATGAATTATTTCTAACTTTTATTCCAATAGCGAAGTCCTGACTTAAACTGCACTTTATTGGATATGATATTCGAACGTAAATAAAAGAAATACTGTACTCTGTTACACTTTTATTTTATGTAGTCCTTACCCTATGACTTCTGAACTGCTACTCTCCTAATAAAACTTATGTGTTTGATTTTATGATGTGTTTAGCTTGGCCACATGGCATGCGCTCACAGCGGCGTGCCGTTTGGACTACAAAATGTAAAAAGTAAATTGTACATATGATAAATGAGCATATCTTCAATACATATTTGCGGTTCGAAGGAGGAACATCTGATTTCTGCAAATATACATTGTTTCAATATTTGTAATGTTTTTGTTTCAGCCTCCGGAAGAGGGCAGTGATCTACCAAGACAAGTTGGTAACAAAACAGAATGCGCATTGTTAGGATTCGTTTTAGGACTTCAAAAGAATTACCAAACCGTCAGGGACGACTTTCCCGAAGAAACATTCACTCGCGTATACACTTTCAATTCAGACAGAAAATCAATGAGTACCGTTATTCCTCGCCAAATAGCTGGAGAATCAGGTGGTTACCGATTGTTTACCAAAGGTGCTTCAGAAATTATATTACAAAAGTGTGCCTTTATCTACGGCCATGATGGTCGTCTTGAAAAATTCACCAGAGATATGCAGGAAAGGCTGTTAAAACAAGTTATAGAACCGATGGCTTGTGATGGTCTGAGAACTATCTGTCTCGCTTTCAGAGATTTCGTTACTGGTAAAGCAGAAATCAATCAGGTACATATTGAACATGAGCCTAACTGGGACGATGAAGGAAACATAGTCAACAACTTAACATGTTTGTGCGTTGTGGGCATTGAAGATCCTGTTCGAAATGAAGTACCTGATGCCATAAGGAAGTGTCAGAAAGCTGGTATCACTGTCAGAATGGTAACTGGTGACAATTTGAATACAGCCCGGTCGATAGCTACTAAGTGCGGTATTGTAAAACCAAACGAGGACTTCCTTATTCTCGAGGGCAAAGAATTTAACAGGAGAATCAGGGACAGTGCCGGAGAAGTAAGTACTTTAAAACGTTTTATAACAATTTTATTAACTACTAAAAGTATCTTATGTCAAATATGCCATATTCTAGGTGGTGGTTCTCTTTGTGTGGGATATCTTGGGAAATAAATAATTTTTCTTTATAATATTGTACAGTGGTGTTAAAAAGTCCTGTATCACCTTATCAAATACATGAAAATAGAAGTTTAAGGCACTTAAACACAATATTATAAAATGGAAACACAGCAAAAGTTTTGATTAATAAAAAAAATATAGTTCGGAAATTTTTTTATCCGATATTACAAAAATTTAGCTATTTACATCAAGACGATGTTGTACATCACATGAAGTAATTTAAACGAATTTTAATATCAATTGGCTAGTCCTTGTTTTTAATAACTAGTTCACTCCTTTGGGGCATGCAGTTTGTTAATTTTTGCAATTCCTCCATGAAAATACAGTGATGCCAAGTGTGGATTAGAGATTTGATTTATTTCGTTTTATTTGTGGGTTTGTTCAGTCCATCCTATCAATTTCATTACTCTTCATCCAAGCTTTAACCAATTTTGCTCTATGGCAAGGAGCATAATCATCCTGAAAAATAAATTTTTCTTCGCCAAACAGGTCTTTTCCACTACGCAATATCTTATTCTGTAATACCTCAATGTATTTGGTAGCATTCATCATCCCATCACGTGTAGGCGACCAGCTGTTCGAGCGGACATGCAACCCCATATCATAACGGAGGTTGGATGTTTATTTGTGGGAAGAACACATTTTGGAGAAAATTCTTCACCAGGAAATCTTCTGACGTAGGCATTTCCAGCATGATTATTAATATTGAAAGTGGATTGATCACTAAACAGTACACTCTGCCACTGCTCTGCTGTCAAGATTCGATGAATCCACTGAAAGCAGTGGTTTCTTCCGTGCCTTACATCCTTTAAGTCCAAAACTAAACAGTCTTTCTCACAGTGGAAGTGCACACACTTACACCTGTAGATTCAGTCCACAGATTCGTCAATCGGGTGGAATTAAGGCTTCAACGTGAAAAAACAATTTCAAAACGCTTTTCGTCCGATAATTTAGTTTGTTTGGTCTGGGATGACAATTTGACCTTTTTATCAAAAATAAAAGGGCGAATAAATGTGTTAGGGTAACTACAGTGTTTATGTGGTCAAAATATGTGGCAAATTTGCCATTAAGATTCAATTTAATAGTACTTTAACGACTTAATAATCACCTCATAATTTTCTCGGATTATGGGAAATCCCTTCAATCAGATTATTTTAATCTTTTCTGTAGAATTTTGAGCTAGTAATTAAAAAATATTAGTAAGTATACCGATAATGGTAATTACAAGCAAAAACTTAAAATGAATTAGCGAAAATATACAAAAAACTTGTGTTAAACCTCAAAAATTATAAGGCGCCTGGGTGATGCAGGACTTTTTAACACCACTGTAGATATGTAGGATTACAGATGCTTATCTGAAACAAAGCATCGATAGACTCATTGTATCATCCATGGAAAAACACTGGCATTTAGGTGGATGAGTTCTTAAGTGAGTCAGGTATTGGATATGACTTGATATAACTTTGTATGGATGTCAGAGCTGAACACACGACCTTATTATACTATTAAAGTTTGCAATCGCTTTCATGTTACAACGTTTTATCCAGTGTACTGCATTTATGTTCGTTTGCGTGAAATATATTCGGCAGAAATCCTTAAAAGATAATTGTTATTCAAATTCTAGTCATTTTGCTATTGAAAAATACTCTGGCATTTAACAATACTGAAAGTGTAGATAACCAGAATGCAGTCTCTTTTTTTAATTGCATAAATCACTATCATCACTATCACTGAAAATTTCCTGAATACGCGAACTTTAATAAAGTTCTTGTTTCCCGTCTCTGATTCACAGAACACCTTTAAATCTTAGAACTTCCCACGAAGAACGAAAGTTTAAATGAATTATCTCTCTATAAAAAATTAGTTTATTCCCATTTTAGAGAAGTTTTGAGTTATTAAATACTCACTATTCCCTTTGAAACGTCCTATTTATCTGAAGCCGAATTTTCAGCGGTAGCTTTTATAAATTAGATCAAAAGTCAAAGTTTGCTCAAAAGAGCATTATCAAGTATTTATGCTTGATTTACATAAAATGTGAGGATCTAAAAGCTCACGTACATTATCATTAAAGGTATTGTTTAAGATGTTTTTATTTTTATGCCTATAAATTATGGCATTATATACATATTTGGACTTAAGAGTCAACATAATATACTCAACATGTAGATGAATTTAACCTTTATAAATGATAAAATTGTATTTGCCACTAAAGAGTATTGTTTCAGGTTCAGCAACATCTTATTGACAAAGTTTGGCCTAAGTTACGTGTTCTTGCGAGGTCATCTCCCACCGATAAATTTATTCTCGTCAAAGGTATTATAGACAGCAAAGTCAGTGACAACAGGGAAGTCGTAGCTGTAACTGGTGATGGTACAAATGACGGACCAGCTTTGAAAAAGGCAGATGTCGGATTCGCTATGGTAAGTTTTGCTAGTAATTTTAAAATAGATATACTATTCACAAATAAGCAAGCCTTACAAATCAGCTTATATGAGAATCGAATCGATGTTATTAAGTTACGATTAGAAATGGTCTGGGAACAGGGAAGTACTATTTCTTCCTTTGGACTTCCAAAAGCTTTTGACAAAGTCCAGACATACTAAGAGTAGTTTCTTCTTTAAGTGCTGTCTCCCAATAGGAGGTTGGATATCATCATCATTAACTTTACTCTATCTACTGCTGCTCTGAAGAGTTCTATAGAACTGCATTTAAACCAGTCCCTTCAATTCTTCAACCATGACACTCTTCTTCTTCCTATACTCGTTCCTCCTCTTATCTTTCCCTGTATTATCAGCTTTAGCAGTTCATATCGCTGTCCCCTCATTACGTGTCCCAGATATTGTATCTTTCTTATTTTTATTGTGTTTATTATTTCGCATTCTTTGCCCATTTCTCGCAATACTTTCGTGTTAGTTTTCTTCCAGCTTTCAAGTCCATATTGCAGTGTCGAAAACACGTAGCATATCAGTGCTCTTACCATCATCATCATCAGTGGTGCTACAGCTCTAGTTGAGCCTTGACCTTCCCCAGTCTTATTCGCCAGTCGTTTTGTTCATCGCCAACCGTTGCCAATTTGCCGCGCCGATTTTCCTTGCGTCCTCGTCCACACCGTCCCTCCATCTCAGTCGTGTCTGCCTCTACTCCTATTTCCCACTGGACCGATAATAGAGTTCGTCTGGTGGGTAATTTTCATTTGCTCTTGACACATGTCCAGCCCATCTAAGCCTACCTATTTTTATGAAGGATATTACATCAGTGCTCTTACTCTCAGTTCTAATCTAAGGTCTTTGTTGCAGAGAATTGTTTTCATTTTTACCAACGCATTTCTTGCTATTTCTATCCTGGCTCTTATTTCGGTTGTTCGATCATTATTGACTGAAATCCAGGTTCCTAGGTATTTGTATTTATCAACCCTTTCTGTCTGTACATTTCCCAAATGTATGTTTGTTGGTATATTTGTTTTCTTTGTTATTATCATGTATTCGGTCTTTTTTATATTCATTTTTAGTCCATATTTTTCACAGAAACTGTTTTGTTTAGCAGTAATTGGAGTTATTCAGCAGAGCTTGCCATAATATAGGTGTCATGTGTATATCTTATGTTAATAATTTAATAATAATAAATGAAATAATATGGTTAAGTTTGGTTGGTTACATTTACCTAATACATATTAAATATACTGTTTTTTCTTTAGGGTATTGCTGGTACTGATGTAGCGAAAGAAGCTTCTGATATTATTTTGACTGACGACAACTTCAGTAGTATCGTCAAGGCTGTTATGTGGGGTAGAAATGTTTATGACAGTATAGCCAAATTTTTACAGTTCCAGCTTACTGTCAATGTTGTTGCTGTTATCGTAGCTTTTATTGGCGCTTGCGCTGTCCAGGATAGTCCTTTGAAGGTAATTATTCATTTAATGAACTTCAATTTTAAGTCTATAATTAATTTTTTGTTTATTTTAGGCTGTACAAATGTTATGGGTTAACTTAATTATGGACACATTAGCTTCTTTAGCTCTGGCTACTGAAATGCCTACTGGAGACTTACTGCTAAGGAAGCCGTATGGTAGAACAAAACCCTTGATTTCCAGAACTATGATGAAGAACATCTTAGGACAAGCCATATATCAATTAGGAGTAATTTTTGCTTTATTGTTTGTAGGTATGTAGTCTTATTTATAGTACAAACAAAAATACATTTATATTTACGTTTTGTGTTAGGTGACAAATTTTTGGATATTGAATCCGGAAGAGGAGTGGAAATCGGTCATCCTCCAACTCAACATTTTACCGTTATTTTCAACTCTTTCGTAATGATGACTCTCTTCAATGAGTTCAACGCTAGGAAGATTCATGGACAAAGAAATGTTTTCGAAGGTATCTTCACCAATCCTATCTTCTACACTATCTGGATTGGAACATGTATAGCACAGGTAAGCAGTTGGAGATCCTTAGGGTAAAATATTTAATACATATACCAAAAAAGAAAATTCCTCTTATTAGTATAAATAATACGTATTTATTGAGCAGTACAGGTATCTTATCAGTGAATATTTGATTGTAGGTGGGTATTATCCAATTAGGTGGTGTAGCGTTTTCGACAACTAGCTTGGATAGAGACCAGTGGCTCTGGTGCCTTTTCTTTGGAGTAGGAACTCTTCTATGGGGACAACTTGTTACGACTGTACCAACCAGTAAACTTCCAAAGATTCTTTCGTGAGTATAAACATTTTTGCCAGTAGCTGTATCTTGTGTGATTTTATGAAATGATTTATGACTTTTAAAACCAAATCCAGCTGAATTCTAACCGTATAACTATGTTTCGACAGCAAGGTTAATTTAGATACTACAGATATAATAAGTACAATAACACAGGAAATTAAACGATAGAATTGGAAAATTACTTATAAAGAAAATTTGATTTAAAAATGAAAGGTGGAAACGTCGATGGAAAGAGTTAAAATCCATTTTCATGCTACTTATAATCTTGTGAGTCGTTAGAATCACCAAAATTTAAAACAAAAATAACAACAAATGCAAATTATATTTAGAACATTAAATGAAAATAGTTAGTTCATTGTAAAGTTGAAACCTGAGTTCTGAAACCAATAGAATGCATTAATGATAAATGCAATATTGAATTGTGGTTGTATAAACTGCTGTTGAATATCTACGTGAGATGTCACACTGCTGGTGTTTTAACATTTTCAGTGCGGCAGTCCCTACACGTTTACCGCTGCCAGTACGACTGCTTTCAAGCCAATCGTGCCAGCATTACAGGATACAGCTCATGGGTTGTTGCAATAAATTGTGCTGTTTCCATAGCTTTATTAAATGTGATATCTGACTTCAGTGCAAATAGCGTATTCTCATTATATTTTGAAATAAACATATCTGTTAATTTCGTTCACAAGTACCGGCGAGTTTTTTAAACGTACACTCCAATCTTGTACACTTTAATTTTTTTGTTTTTGAAGCACCATAAAACTTTGCTCTTTCTGCCCATACTAAACAAGTTTTGTTATAGTAGTTATCTAGGCTTTTTACAATGACATTGAATTCACATTCTTCAGGTTTTTTAGGCACGGACAAGTCGGATAACAAGATATAAGCTTCTTCTGAAAGGCTATATAACAAAATAGCTCTTTTAATATCAACATCTGTAATTTCTCTATCGATGAAATATTGTTCTAGCCTTTTTATAAACACATTCCATTCACAAATTCTGGGATTAATTCCAAATTTAACGATAAATTTTATTTCCCGTCTTTCGACATTTTGTATTCACTCATACACACTTTAAAAACGTTTTTATCGATATGACTACTTATCAAACACAACTGTTAATTATTTTACCTGTGGTGGCCTAACTGAAATAAAATGCGATAATTAGTAATACATGAGCGTCGCAAGTGGAGTTTATAATTACATGGCTAATACATTACAATTATGTTGAATTAATTCTATTAATTAATTTAAATTAATTCTAATAGTTGTAGTAATTCTACTTTTTACTCAATCCTTTTTAAAAACACTGAAAAACATTTTTATTATTAATTTTAGGAAAAATAATTGTTTATTAAAAGTTCTGCCAAATTCTTCAATCAAAATAAGATGCCAATGTGTAGGTTAACTTTCGCGGAAATCATGTTGAATTCAGCTGCGGACACTTAATGTCGGATTGATATTCGATATTAAGAATTTAATATTGATATTAATACAGATTTTTGAAATATTTTTTGTTATAACTTTCTCTAAACATATTGTCATCTTAGATGGGGCAGGGGTCATCCCGAGGAATACACGGAGGCGATTGCCATTGGAGAGGAGAAATACGACCTCGAATCTGACAAGAAACCTCGCGCTGGTCAGATATTGTGGATAAGAGGCTTGACAAGATTGCAGACGCAGGTAAGTAAAATCATATGAACTCATTTGGGAAATATTCGCGATATATACACACACACACAATTGTTGCACCAGTAGGTAGGAGGATGCACTTGGGCAGAGCTAACTTTTGTGGAAATCAAGCCAAACTGCCAGACAACCTCTATCCTACGAGAGTGCCAAAATGATATGAGTTTTAGTTATGAAATGAGTGATTGAAATTATTTTTGATAAACAGAGCTCAGTCAATTTATACATTTTGATCATCAATATCAAATAGGTTTTGCTGTTTAGTTCGCTTCTTACTAAACCTACTGGATATCAATACCAGTTATGGTACATACTGATGTATTATTGAAAAAACTTTGGTTTCATTATTGGAAATCTAAATAACTGACTCATTGTATAAAAAAATATATTTTCTTTGAACTTTGGTTATTTTATATTAAAAATGATTAATTATTTTCAGAAAATATGTACAGGGTATAAGGATAGTAAATTATTTGGATACTAGTAAATTAAATTATTTGGATACTCAGTAAATTTTTTTTCCAGTAACAAATCAAAGTTTTAGTCAAATAATACAATCTTCCCTGTAATGTTATATTATCGGCAATGAAGGAACTGAAACAAAAGACCTTTATTACTTAAAAGTCAATTATTATTATGTAAAAGTCTACGTCAGTTGAGGACCTCCTATCTCTCGTCCTTATTTCCTTTTACCAACAGTTATTATCTTAAATTTGACCAGCATGGTGCTGCTTTTGACATTTGACAATGTGTGTGCAAATTAATCACTGAAACTGGGTAAAAACCTAAAAATGTGTACCAAGTTATTTATTTTTTTATATAATGTGCAGGTGTAGTTCTGCACTTCTGTTGCAATGTAAAGTACCTACTGCCATAAGGACTTACATAATTTATTGTTTGTAAATTTCAACTTTAATTTGACAAAGCAAACTCCAAACAAATTTAGCAAACATAAAGAAGAGGATATATATGGAAAATATCTAACAGACGAACATAATTTACAATAGAATATTCCTCACTCGTATTCCGTCATTGTTGTCTATATTTTATCATTTCTGTGTGTATTGAACACAGTGAATGAAATACATATTTGCCGAGTAATAAAAAAATCGGCAAGGTATCACAAGTGCCACTTCTGAATTTCTCTGCAGTTGGTTTTGATTTGATTTACTTAATCAAATTAAAATTTATGTTGTCCAGAAACCATTAACCAAGCTCGTCAGTTCACTGCTAGGTTTTTTGATTTTCTTTTGTGTTTCAGTGTGTTCAGTTTTTCTTTCCCAGATCTCTTTCCACTTTTACGATTTTTTAGTACATTTTGTACAATTCGTTCTAGATGATTATCTCCCTATATGTATGTCTATAAAACAGAGTCTTTATGTTTACCTTATTAGTTCCATTTCTGTTTTTTGTTTAAATTTTCACTGGCATTACAGCATGATTGATAAGATTTCATTGTTCAACTGTATTGCATAACAAATTATTGTCGAATTTCTTGGTTCTGTCTCTATTTTATCAATATTAATTAACGTACTTTACACAGTACACTCTTTATTATTATTATGACTCATTTGTTGTTCCTTAATTCCATTCTGTACCCCATCGGTTCTCAACCTTTTAGCACTGGCGCCCCTTTGAACACTGAAGATAGCTCACACCTCCCCTTCACTCCATAATTGGTAGGTTCAAGTTAGAACAGTGAAATTGTGAAACTAACGATGCTAACTCTACGCTAGCAAAAGCTGGGATGCAAAATAAAAATCCAGATATATTTAAATACCAAAGTTTATTTGATGTCTCATTAAACTTAACATTGTTTATTTATTTGAGAAAAAGAATAATCAAAAAATCAAATACGCATATAAAATTGCATATAAAGTTTTTCGCTGTCAAAGTTGAGAACCACTGATCTAACCCATTTTGTAGTGATCATTTGTTTTTGTAACTGAATCTAGTTGCACATTTATTACTACTAAGTGTATGCTTTACTAAGTGTATAGCTTTATCCCTTTTCCATCTTTGCTTGTGGATGATGCATTTCTGTCTAAGCATTTCATGTGGTAATTTGGCAATCCTTCTTGAAATTGAGTTTTTTGTTACTTATTTCTCTGTTCTGGTTCTGCTAGGCTAGAAAATATATAATTCGGAGGCGTTTGTTTATGACTGTTTGAAATGGAAGTATATAATAAAAAGACAACGAAATTTTGTTTATCTCCGTGGTGATGGACAATGAATATAATCAAAATTAATATCAAATATAAGTACGAGTAATGGAAAAGAAATAATAGTATGAAAGTAAACGAACCTAGAAGATAAGACAGTGAAAAATAAAGCATAAATCAAGTTGTAAAAGCTGAAATATATAGACAATATATAGACAATTGTTCTTAATGTCAGTAGAAAAATGTCCAACTTTATATCATTTCAAATTTTTTCAAGTTTTTTCAAAAGTTATAGACTAAGTTGATTGCTAGTTTTTGAATTATTTTTATTGTTAATAATTTTGTGTTAAAAAGTAAATAAGTACATATTTTTAGGGGATATTTATACACGTCTATTAAAAAAATCTTTAAAAATGTACAAAATTATTTAATTTAACTATTATCTGAACATATTTAATTAATTCAGCTTCATTATATTTCAGTTATAAGTTCAGTATTTCAAAAACAGTCTGTTACCAAACATTCCATATAATGTTATCATATATATCTACATGTATATGCAGCAGTTTATACTTCGGAAACAACGATCTTTCAGTCTGTACTTGAAATTGGTAAAGTACTAGAATGTTACCCCGATTTCAAGCTATTTAACTGTCATCAGACGTCAGTTATCTACAAATTCAGACTGAGACCGACATAATTGTGTATGACCATTTTTCCTATAGTGATGGTCGCTTATAAAGGCACTCTGATGGTCTTAAATGAAAACAATTTATCAATTATTGTTTTCTGTAATTTGCGCCATTGTAAGTTACCACTGTGATGGGAAAACTCGTCACAAACCCTATTTCTAGTCTCCAAGTTTAAATTTGTTACGCCTGCGCATATTTGAGGCTAGGAAGTATCTTAAAATCGCAATGACATCATCATCACGTAGCGCTACAACCCTGGGTGGGTCTTGGCTGACTATACAACTTTTTTCCAATTTGTTCGGTCTTCCATCAACCTAGGGTCAAATGGAATGTTGATTTTCCGAAGATCTGTTTGGGTGTTATCTCTCCATCGCATTCTAGGACGTCCTAGTGGTCTTTTGCCTGTGGGATTCTCCTCTCACTGCACTCTCTCCACACAGCAATGACATGTTGTTATCTTATTTATTTCAAATACAGACACTTATCAGGTGTTTCCGAGGCATAGGCTGTTTAGATACATTTAAGTTATACTTTCTGAAAGATTCATTTTCGGTGTATGTGCCTGTATGTGTTTTGAGACATCCATGTTAATGATGGAGAGAGAAATAGTGAGAGAAAGAGATAGAGAGAGAGAGAGAGAGAGAGAGAGAGAGCATGAGAACTGCTGAGATGAACCTTGTTAAAATAAGAGCTCACTTCGGGATATAGGCATACAACTAGAAGAAAGACTTTATAAGAAGATGACACTTCCGTAGAAACAATTGAACAATAGATATAAAGGTGTAATGTCAATAAGTTTGAACAGTTAATGGCCCCATGCACTTTGAGATCTGTAACGTTACATGTATCATGACAAATTGCGATACACATATCTTGGGATTTGTATCTGTATTACTACTGTACCTAGACGTTGAGATGGACTCATGAAACAACAGTTTAATTAAAATTTTCTTCAAGCCACATGTAGAAATGGTGTGGCCGCCCCCATCTGTACTTATTGCAGTAACAGATACGTTGACAGATATTTCAAAAAAGAAAAGACGACAAAAAAGAAAAGACGACAAAAAAGAATATGGGTAAAGTAATGGTTACGTGACAGAAACAAATATACAGTGACAAATTTAAATTTATTGCAAGAATTAATTAAGTGCACGGACTAAATGCTTCTTCCAACTCTTCACATCCTAAATTTGATTTTGCCTCTCTCTAGCCATTTCAGAATCGGCAATAAAACTTAAAATGTCATAATACCGCAGGTTCGGTACGTATACTTCGTCTTTAGATGATTCACTTACAACTTTTTAAGTTCTCGTCTAAAGGCGCAACAAAAGCTGTGTATTTTCTGAATGAAAAAATTGCTATCAGTATTAGGACACTTTCTTTGCATTTTTTAACCAAGATTGTTATTGCCGATTCCCTAAGTTGTCTATTTGAATATTCTTTGGACTTTGAGTTCCGTAAACATGAATATAATTTGTATAAATTGATAAATTCCTCCCAAAACTTGCGATCCGTCATATTGACAATTAAAATTATGTATGCTTTAACTAATACAAGTCTATTTATGCTAATTCAAGTCTATGCACCAACAGCTGACAAACCAGATGAAGAAATTGAGCAATTCTACAACCAAATTATATCAATTCTCCGGAGCATAAAAAACATGAAGCTACGATTATTATGGGAGACTTCAACGCAAAAGTTGGTGCCGAAATAACACAAGCTACAACCGGAAAGTATGGAATTGGAGAAAGGAACAAAAGAGGGCAGAGACTAATACAGTTCTTCCAAGAAGAGATTTGCTTTATAACAAATACTTTATTTCAACATCCTAAAAGACGACTGTCAACTTAATAAAGATGATAAAACAGAAAACTCGAATATCTGGAGCATATAATGAGAGGAATCAGATACAGGATAATGCAGTTGATACTCAACGGAAAGATTGACGGATCCTTCGTCAATGGACTGGCTTATCAGCAGATGAATTATAACATGCCGCGCAAGATCGAGAACGATATCGGCAAATCGTCATGGAAGCGCCTAAAACCCACGCCTAAAACTTGGTCACGGTACTCAAAGAAGAAGAAGATGCTTTAACTAGTACTATGCAAAACAATCAACATATACTTTGAGACAA